CGACAGGCCCACTAGAAACCAGTGTGTTCAGCTGAGAAAATGGACACAATTCCTTTTGCTCTTTACGCATTTCACCTTGAGCGTGACTACAGGAAGCATCTAATTCACTACCCTGCAAGTGCAAACTTAAATCCATAGGTGCTTCAGACAAAAGGGCGTCAAGGGAATGACACAGGCTGATGGGATAGTAGAAACACGTGATACAAAATGCAGGGGATAATGGGAGTTAGCGGGCTAAGTGGGGATGGAAGGTCGCGGAGGAGACGGGTGGTGGTTAATCGAAAATAAGAATGTATTTTTCTTACTTATGAAAACTCACAACTTTGTAAATTAATTTTAAAAAACATTTTTTTTAAAGGAAACTGAGGAGGGATACCTTGCTCAGCCTAGATATAATGGAGAGGGCCTTGGTTCTGCCGCAAAGCAATGTGCTTGGTTGACTCCAGATGGGAAGCCTTACCCTGAGGAGGATGGGGTGGGTGGAGGGAGCAGGAGGAGGGAAGGAAGTGGGAACTGGGATTGGTGTGTAAAATGAGAAAATATTGTTTTTTTTTAAAAAATAGATGATAGATAGATAGATAGATAGATAGACAGACAGATAGATAAGAAAACAACACAGATATTCTTCATGGGGTGGAGAATGCTTCCCTGAAGAGGATATGAGTTATTAAATGAACTCTCCATGTATGGGACATCTTCCTAAGAATTATTGGTCCCCCCTCACCAAACAGCACAAGATATTGCCATTGCTTTAGATTGTCCTAACCGGTACTAGACGGTAAGACCCTATTGTAGAAGACACAGTAACACACTTTGGTTTCAGAAATGAAGCTGAAACCAACCTAAAAACTTCCTCCCTGCTGGTTGGCTTTCATAGTGCTAGGTGCTATAGGCTACTTGGGCAGAGAAGCCATCAATGGTATCACCCAGCACTGGATTCTGAGTGATGTAATACCAACTTCAGGCAAGATGTGAAAATACTGGCATGAAGGTAACAGAGGCAACCAACTACTTTCTGATGGGCCCTGAGGCCTGTTCTGTAAGAGGGAATTCACACTTGATATTATAAACCTGGCAGAAAGCCCAGCCTGTGAGGTCAGAGGTCCTGAAGGGGCGGGCAAACGGGGAACTCTACTACTGTGGTTTTGGTAAATGTCAAACTGTCTTCTAAATATGTGTATGCCCACGGACTAGGGCTGGTTCACACCAGCTAGAGAGGCTTCTGCAGAGAGCGGTGGTTAATGCGGACTCCTAACGGGAGAAGTGGCTGTCGAGAGCTCAACCCTAAATGGGACGACTCAGTTCACCCGAGGCCTGGGAAACACTCCAGAAGAGGGGGTGCAAGGGATGCTGTGAAAGGCCGTCTTCTGGCCATGGCGTGGCCATCACACGCGGGAGCTCCCTCACCACGACTGTGGTGACCAGCATAAGATGGAGTTGAAAGAATGAGTTAACACTCCAGCTGGCGATACCTTGGCATGACTCAGTGGGTTATGAGGGGGTGTTTCATGAAAGGCTGGAGGGGGATACCTGCGGGAAGTGGGTAGAGCTGGGGTGAATATGGTCAAGATACCAGTGTATGCGTGTAAACTGCCAAAGAACAAATTACATGTGCGAGGGGGCGTGTGTGTGTGTGTGTGTGTGTGTGTGTGTGTGTGTGAGAGAGAGAGAGAGAGAGAGAGAGAGAGAGAGAGAGAGAGAGAGAGAAGCAGGAGCTTGAAAACTGCTTGCGTTTAGGAGGCTGTCCTTTCCTGCTGCTTTGCAGGCACCTTTGGACCACCATCATTGAATGAACATCATTCCAAGAGGATCTGAGGCGGTTGGCAGAACAGGTGAGTAAGCACGGATAAGACTCATAGCGGTGAGTGAACACATTTTTTTGTTTGTTTGTTTGTTTGTTTGTTTGTTTGTTTTTTACAGTAATGAATTTTATTGAGCTGCTCCCCACTTCCTCTCCCTCCCCTTCTACCCTCTCCCGTGACCCCCACACTCCCAATTTACTGGGGAGATCTTGTCTTTTTCTCCTTCCTATGTAGTTTAAGTATGTCTCTCTTAGGGTCCTCTTTGTTGTCTAGATGTAGACACTAATTTTTTTTTTAAAGAAATGCTCACATACATCTCAAGGACCATAGCTAAAGATTGTTTTTAATCCAAAATTAGAAAATATAGGTTTTATATGATTGGGGCTGAGAAATACTACCAACACATCTAAACAAAAAAACGTTTGAGCTAAGTTGTTTTTTTTTTTTTTTTTTTTTCCGAGACAGGGTTTCTCTGTGGTTTTGGAGCCTGTCCTGGCACTAGCTCTGTAGACCAGGCTGGTCTCGAACTCACAGAGATCCGCCAGCCTCTGCCTCCGAGTGCTGGGATTAAAGGCGTGCGCCACCGTCGCCCGGCTGAGCTAAGTTTTTGCTAACATGTTTTGTAAGCAGAGAAGTTGGAAAATCAGGCAGTGGAGAGGGTAATGTGTAAACCCAGCAGCATCTGGGTGAATCTGCTATTTTCCCTCACCCCAGATTGGTGTGTGAGCACCAAAAACAAGCCAAGGTCCACAGAGCAGCACGCTTCTTCCCACCAGTTTGAACAAATCTATTTTAAGCAGAAACTCTATTTCAGTGCCCCGGCAAAGAAAACAGTCCTCACATGAAACCCAAAGCGTTTCAGTAACCAAATACCTCCGAGAGGTCTGAGGAGCCGTGACTTAAGAGGAGGGGCATGTCGAAGGCCCACACGCTTTTCTGCACAGGTTTCTAACTTCAGCGAAAACTCCCCAGACCCTGGGCCCTACTAGAGGCAAAAGGAATTCTAAATTGCTCTTCGGTAATTCTCAACCTTGAGTGTACACCGAAGTCGTCTAAAAAGATCTTTTTTCACTTTTAATACCATTGCCTGGACCTCACCCAAGGTCAATTAAACCAGAATCCCTGGTATGTAGCCCAGGCATTAGCTCTTTCTGAAGCCCCCTAAGGGTCTCCTGTGCAGCAAGGGGGGTGACCTGCAAAATAACCTTAAACATTGCTCGGAAAGGCGAAGGGTGGCTATAATTGCTGTGTGTGTGAATTTCAGTGGTGACAGGAAAGACTAGTGGAGGGAGGTAAATTTTTGTTTGAGAATTTAATAAATGCATTTGTAATGTTTTGAAAGCCTGCTCCCCCCCCCCCATTTCATCTCCAGTTCCTTCCCCACTGGGCCTACCAGTCTCTCTCAATTCCTGTGTTTCTGTTGTTTTAAACCCACTGTGTCCACTTAGTGTTGCTCTGTCCACTGGAGTGCAGGTAGCCTCTTGGGGACCGCATCCTTGAAGAAAACCAATTCTCGCTCTCCCAGCAACCATCAACTGCCAACACTCCACAGCTATGGTGGCCTTTGTGTCCACCACTCCCCTCCATGCTGGGATTTTGTCTGGCTTTATCTTGCACATGCAGTAGTCACAACCACTGTGAGTTCATTTGTGTGAACGCCTTGCCCTGTCTGGAACACACCATTTGGCTTTAGTTTTCCACTGCGGCGGACTCTTAGAATCTTTCCGCCCTCTGCTCCGTGATGACCCCTGAGCCCTCGGAGGAGGAGGTGTGATACAGGTATTAGGGAGATAAGAGGGATACCATTTACTGCACACCCATCTGGCACCATGTACTGCGTTGGGCAATGCCTGCTTGGCCCAACCCTGTTGTAAGGAGGCTGCTTATTGGTTCCCGGATGCTCAGCCCCAAAATAACTACACAGAAACTATATTATTTAAATCACTGCTTGGCCAATTACTTAAGTGTATTGCTAGCTACTCTTACATCTAGAATTAACCTATCTCCGTTATTTTATATTTTACCATGAGGCTAGTGGCCTACCGGAAAGGTTTCAGCATGTCTGTCTCTGGCAGGGCTCCATGGCTTCTCCCTGACTCTGTTTCCTTTCTCCCAGCATTCAGTTTAGTTTTCCTTGCCTACTTAAGTTCTGCCCTATCAACAGGTCAAGGCAGTTTCTTTAATCACCAATGGTATTCACAGCATACAGAGGGGAATCCCACATCACAACCCCCAATACTTACCACCCCAACAAATGCATTACCACAAATCATTTATTCTTCAAAAATAATTATTAAAGGCATTAACTCAAGGCAACTGACAAAAACTGGCTCATTTACCTATCACAGAACCAGCAGGTATGGGAACAAGAATTAAGGTTTCTCTGCAGCTTTGGAGCCTGTCCTGGAACTAGCTCTTGTAGACCAGGCTGGTCTCGAACTCACACAGATCTGCCTCTGCCTTTCACGTGCTGCGATTAAAGGTGCATGCCACCACCGCCCGGTACCTTTTCACTCTCTTTTAGTTGTGCACCGATGTTTTGAAAGATTACAGTTAGCACAGGAGTAGCCAAGTTTGAACGGTATAAAGGTGCACAGAGCAGACGTAAGGCACACAAAGAACAGCTTCATTTCTCATCACTTTTCCTGCAGTGAATGAAGCACACCTATGGTCATCCTTGACTCCTACTTCTTAGCCATCAGTCACTTCCCCTGGAGACAAAAATGAGTAGTTTTCCTATTCCAGAAAGATTTGAAGTGGATGGCAGAGGAATGCATAGGAGTAAACCTGGACAGAACTACTTATAACGCAGTTGTGGTGGACAGACATCAAAGTTTTATAGAGATGCCTAAGTACATCATAAGAACCGTTAAGTTAAAGACTTTGTTTTTACTCAAAAATTAGAAAAATGTAGGTTTCTTCTTTTGAGAGGAATTCCATATCAATATACACACATCTGAAAATTCTTTTTAGAACTACATTGCACAATATGGAAATGTGTCATCACTTCATCTAGGCCCTGGTGGACAGACATTAGATTACCCTGAATTGCTGTAAAAATGCTAGGATGGATAACCTTGGACTCTGTAAGTTCACAGACAATCACACTTAAGATAAATTCTCAGAGTCAAAAGCTATGCTCTTTTCACTGCTCCATGCTCCCCCTGGCTTCTGAGAAACAACTCGTAGCCAGACTCAGTGAGTTACATTTACTTTATTCAAAAGCCTTACCAAATATTTAAAGAACACTTTCATTTTAATAAAATATTAGAAATGTTTTTCTCCAAAAAAATATGTTCAAAGGCAAACCAAGAGTCTAGGTGAATGATCTGAAGCAAAGTGACGTGTGTTCATCAACGCTGTGCTGGCTCCCTCCTGCTCAGAAGGTATCTGTCCCCGAGGACTCCTCGTTGCCTTGTACGGTGCTGGTGCTCGGGGACTGAGCGCAATTGTCAAGGTTCGCAGAGGGCAGAGTCACAGACATCTTGGCAGGTGACGTGTGTGCAGTGAAGAGCGGGACTGTCTCACCACCTGCACAAAGGAGAAAGGCGTTCAGCAACACTAGCACTCCGTGACCACAGACGGTGTTCTCTTTCCAAATTGAACGGGAGACAGTTAGTCTCTTCTCATGTTGTTCAAAATGTCAGAGATAAAACATGCTTTTCCTTTTACTGTGGATACCTTAGATGTAATATTTTACAAGAGAAATAGGCACTAGAAATTGTGGTACCACACATAAGATTGAGTTTTTTTTCCCCCACTAAGTTTACATAGGGGGATGAGCTGGGAAGAAGAAAGTGGTCAGCAGGAATGAAAAAGATAAAAGGGTGATGGTTGTATTGCCACAAATCTATGTGTGAAATTGTCAAAAAGTTAATGAAATATTGTAGTACTAAGTCAGATTGCTAGTTGTTGACCTTGTCATTTGTGGTGAGTCACCTAACCACTCTAAAGTCCAGTGTCTTCATGTTAAATAGAGGGGCAGAGCGATGGAAGAACAGCCGCGAGAGCAGAGTTCAGCACTGCTGGCGTCATTCCAAACCCTACATCCCACTGTGGTGAGTGCTAAGACACCCACTGTCCCCGTAACAGCCTGTTGTCCCTACTGAGCCCATAACAGAGCCTGCTGTCCCTGTTGATGATGAGTGACTGGAAGCCACTGTCACAGCTTGCAGTAAGATGGACTATTGCTTACACAGCAACTTCAAAAGAAGGAGTGGAAGAAGCATTTGAACCCAGGTGTCATGGCAGTGGCCCCTAGCTCTTGGGAAAGCTGAGGGAAGAGGGTGGTGAATTTGAAGCAGTCTGTTAAAAACTAAAATAAAAACACCAAATCCAAGTCCATCTTTGGCAAAGCTCTTTGCTTTTCCTCTTTCTTCTATCCTGACTCTTAGCTCAGGATGTACTGTAAGTGACTGCTCACTGACGGTGCCAGCAGCGCTACACTATTAGTTAACATTTGCACACACAGTCTAAGAGAATGCTGAGTGGTCGTTCAAATAGTGATGACATTTGACTAGAAAGCACTCATTCTGTAAAGTGATTCTCCCCTTCTCTGTATATCTAATTAAATATGGGGGAACGCATTCTATTCGATGGATTGCAAACAGTATTAGACCTGTAAGAATAGAATGTCCAAATGAAGAAATGTTAAAAATTGCATTTAAAAATATTTATAGGGGCCGGGTGGTGGTGGCACACGCCTTTAATCTCAGAACTTGGGAGGCAGAGGCAGGTGAATTCCTGTGAGTTCGAGGCCAACCTGGTCTACAAGAGCTAGGCTGTTACACAGGGAAACCCTGTCTCGAAAAACCAACTTATATATGACATAAGGCTTATTAAAATACGCTTGTGTTTTACAAAGCTATGACCCAGAGTATACAAAATAACCCAGAGACGCACCCAGTAGCACAGCGTAATTTGTGGTGACGTCACAAGTTAGCACTGAGTGGAGTCTACAGCTATACTGCTCCACTCCACCTTACTTCCCCACGCAGCCTGAAGAGGAACTCCATTCCTTGAATCACTCAGCTATCCCAAACTACAGTTTGTTATCTTGAACAAAACTGCTTTATATGCATACCTTGTTCTTATCTATATGCTTAAAATTGCTTGTTAAATTGTTCAATAATGACTTTTTAAAATTCTGAATTGCCAAGTGACAAGTTATGTTTCTTGCAGTTGTTGCTTTATACTTAAATACCAACACAAAATTTTCCAAGAACCTTTCTCTCATCATCTTATCTGATTCTAACAAAGATTCTGTGGGGCAAACAAGATGAACAAGACAGATGTTAAGCTGACCTTGTCATAGGTGTATGCTGGCCTAAACAGCTGTATGACCCTGCTGCATACACGGAGCTAAGATGACAAGGAGTGGATGCAAGGATGAAAAGATAACTCCCGTTCTCAAAATGCTCCTAACGTCATGGTAGACATAGGGGGGCTTAGTTAAAATGATGTGCGAGCTGGTGGGTGGTGGCACACACCTTTAATCCCAGCACTCAGGGGGCAGAGTCAGGTGGATCTCTGTAAGTTCAAGGCCAGCCTGGTCTACAGAGTGAGTTCCAGGACAGCCAGGGCTACACAGAGAAACCCTGTCTTAAAAAAATAAAAATAAGAAAACAAAACATCATCTGCAAGGGGCAGTTGAGCTGGGACTCACGAGAAGCTGGGAAGGCTATAAAGCAAAGGAGAAGAAAAGAACAGATTTAAGTTTGTGTCCAAGGGGTCAACTATAGACTGGGCTGAAAGAATGGTGAACTCTGAAGGCCTGCAGAGGGCAGGGTCAACTCCTGTTTAAAAAGAGCCGGGGAGTTGTGGTGCAGGCCACTTTTAATCCCAGTACTCAGGAGGTGGAGGCAGGCAGATCTGAGCTCCAGGCCAGTCTTGCTTACAGAGAGGCCCAGGACAGCCAAGGCTACACAGAGAGACCCTGTCTTAAAAACAAAACAAAACAAAATTACTCAGCTATCCCAAACTAATGCCAAATAGTTTGTTATCTGAACAAAACTGCTCTATATACACATCAATTTTCTGACCCCAGCTCTCAACTATGACAGAGCCTCAAGGAGTTTGGTGAGCATTAAGCAGGGTCATCACAGGTGTTATATATGCTACTGGAATAGAAACGACATTCAGTTAAGTTAGTTTACTCCAGGGGAACTGACCAGGGGCCATTCCAACAGACACCAGTCCCATGGGGAGGGCTATAGAAGGAACTCTGCTTTAGGGAAAATGATAGGAATGTTACATGGAAACTAGTAAGAAAACAAAACAGAGGATTGGGGCGGTCGCTCAGTCTGGTAGAGTGCTTGTCCAGCACGCACAGATCCTGGGTTTCACACACTGGCTATGCTGCTGAACCCTGTAATCCTAGTACTCAGGAGCTGGAGCTGGGGCTAGAGTGCAGCCTGGGCTACGAGACCCTGTGTGAAAAGTACTCTGGAACACCATCATTTTAAATAAAAATTGTATCAATAAAATGTACCATTTTATTTGTTAATAAACATCTTCAGAAGATATTTTCAAGTTCATAAGTTTTTAAATAATCACTTTTTAGGACTTTAAAAGACAACTTTAAATTGGAATGTTTTAAAAAGCACCAGTTGATTATTGTTAACAGACAAAAGGTTAATATTCAAAGCCGGTAACGGCGGTCAGAGAGCAGAAGAAAGAAGATGAAAGAACAGAACATCCTACTATATCACATTAGAGCACATGCCCGTGTTCTACCTATATTACATGTAGCTTGGTGCTTTCAAGTTTAACTTAAAGCTTCCAGCTATGTCACTACACTATGATGTCACTGTTTCAACAGCTGTTTCCAGGCCTGAACACAAAAATGACTCCTTGATCCCAGGACTAGGCAGTGTCTCATTAGGGCCTGGCGTGCATCTGAGCTCAAGATGCCAGAATCAGACCTTAGATTTGATTCATCCAGAGACATAATTTAATATACTTTAAAAATTCAAAATACTAAAATTTTGCTTTGAAATATTAAAAATTCATAAATATTTTCCATTCTCTGTTGCTGGATTTTTAGGACTAAGGAACACAAAAATAACTATTTATTTATTTGTTTGTTTGTTTTTTCAGAACAGGGTTTCTCTGTGTAGCCCTGGCTGTTTTGGAACTCACTATGCAGATCAGGCTGGCCTCGAACTCAGAGATCCATCTGCCTCCCAGGTACTGGGTGTGTGCCACCACCCGGGCTCAATACAGAATTTTTAATGCATATTAGATATACATGTATCTAGTGCATGTACTTCTTGGGTAGAGAACCCACTTCATCAACAGGTCGTGGATGATGGGTCTAAATGTTAGCGCTTTGGTGACCCATTATTAGATCTTTCCCTGAAAGCTAGGAGGACCCCAAACAAAGCACTGCCTCCAAAAACAACTAAGGTAAAGAGAGGAGCTTTTTCTTGGCAGTTCAAAGAGGACAACAGCCTCACGGACACCTCGTCCTGGCACGTTTATGAATGATGGTCATCTACAAGACGACTGTGCCGTGGTAAGATTCTGACCGCCATCATCTGGACTTTTTCTAGTTGTGAATAAAGACTAGTTTCTTATAAACTGGGCATTAAAAATAAAGTTTAAAAGAAGCAACTGTAATAATCTTTAATCCAGGTCCTCGGAGGATCCTAATTAGCCCAGGGGAATGAACACCATATAACCATGAAAACTATTTCACCTAGGCACTGTTTGGGGAGGAGAAAGGCACAGCATTCAGTATCTTAAGAGGGTCTGTGACCACCCAATTAAAAGGTCTTTTTTATTAATTCTTTGAACATTTCATATAATGTATTTTGACCACAGTCACCCCAAAATCCTCCCAGATCTCCCCACCTCCTATAACTTCAACTTCACGTTTTTCTTTTTCCATTTTATTTTATTCCTTTAAGCCATTCATTCACTGCCCCCGTCCAGGAGCAACTGAATCCACCCTCTGCACTTTTCCCAGCAGGACTGGTAAAAGCTCAGGAGTTGTCTCTCTGAGCAATACGGGTGCAACTTGACTGCACCAGGTACCAGCTGGACTGTCACTAGTCCTCTGTGTGTCTGCCACCTCCTCAAGACTACATAGCCCTGGCTGTCCTGGGGCTCACTATATAGATCAGGCTGGCCTTAAACTCACAGAGAGCACCTAGCTTTCGAGTCTGCTATTAAACGCGTGCTCCACTGGGCCAAGGGCTGCCGCATTTGGGTCTGTTTTCTACTAAGTTCTAGCACGATGCTAGACACATACTGAATCTTGAAATCAAGTAGACTTCTTCCTCGAGGATCTATGGGCTCTTCTAAGTGTGTTTGCATTCATACTCCAGATCTTGTTTTCAAAATCAGCAACTATTCCCAGCAACGCAGTGGCTTCCCAGTTGTCTGAAAATGTTACAGCATTTGAGCAGTGTTTTATTAGGCTCTGGAAGCATTTTCCTATCCACCTTGGTCTCATCTGCTCCTCCTTCAATTCCTTGTGTAAAGCAGCTGCTAAACTCTCCTGCTGCATTAAATTCTCCTCACATACT